ACTTCATCACCACTATTCCTTATGTAAGTTCAAATTTTGGCAGTTGTTTGTAAGGAATACACTTGGCCATATCCTGAGCTTGTTAAAACTACAGCACAAACAAAATACTTGATCTAATTAGCATTTTTGCATTTTCTATCACCATGATTAACATCAGAACTTGATCCCTCTTACACAAGCAGCGTAAAATATTGCTAGAGGTGCTTTTCAATACCAAGTGTATTTTTCTTTAGACACCACAACATGGAGAAAAAGATGAGGCCCGCTTCAAGGAATAGAGTTCTTCCTGCAAAGAGGCCTAAGCACAGTTTGGAAAAAAAAAAAACCACACACCCAAATGGACAAATCAACCTCCAAACTACTAAATAATTTGTAAATATTTTAAGGAATAATAAAACACAATTAGAACCAAGAAATATATTCAAACTTAAATTCCATATAACTATTCCCACTGGAATAATCCACTGCTCTTTCCACAGAAAGAAAATGACTGAAGCACACAATACCCTTTAATGACCAGTTATATTCAGAACCCGTGTGTGATGGATATTATACTGGTATTATGTCTCATACTGGTAATATGCTTGGACATCAGCTATAAACTGTCCCTTTTCTTTTTCCCCTTTGTGCCCCAAAAGAAACCAGCAGGGACCCAAGACAACACATTTCTATTCCAGGTTGCCAGTCAGACCTCAGAACAGGGTTGTTGCTCAGAAGGAAGTTGCCAGAGATGCAGTCACTCAACCCCATGACCAAATCTTGCTACTCCCAATAAAGTTTAACATAAAGATCAAAGCTTAATCATGAGACCCCATCAAAACAAGGCTGTGTCAGCACTGCATTCCAGTGACATTACTCATGTTGTTCCAATTCCCATGTTGCTATGCTGGCACAGTAACATTAAATCAACATATCAGCCCTCAGCAGCCTTTCCGTAACATATTGCAGCCCATTTACAAATACATTTTATTGTAGTTGGAGTGCAGTATTGCAACCCTTTCCCCCCACCAGGTTTAGATTTACTAGGCTAGAAGAGGAAGATCTTTCCCTTCAGATGGGTAGTAGCAACACTCTGCATAGCATATGATCCCATATCACATGAAGGGTTGCTGTTGGGCAGCTCACTGAGAGGAGGCCACACTGCCCCATCATCTGATAAAAGAAGCATTTGTATTACCGCTAACAAACATCATCAGTGAAACACTAAACCATAAGTGGTCTTAAATAATGGTTGCATGATAAATATTCTCATCAGGATGTCAACAGAGACAAATCCATATTGTGTGCATCATCACATGAATCAGAATTGAAAAAAAAAAACCACACTTGAAAAAATATCTACAAAGATCTACTTCATGTGTCAGAAAGAAACTTTCATCCTGTTGTTTCAAGTTTTCACATACTTATCTATACTAAGACCTCTGTAATTGCGTGCAGACGCTGCACTGGAGCTGCAAGTGGGTGCAGATGACATTAGCACTGTGAGATAAAGTGACCTTTGTGAGAAACAGGCTACCACCCAGTAGAAATCAGAAAGTAGCCATGAGCACACAAGCATGGGACTGACTTCAGGTTTTGTTTTATGGTAACCAGATTTTTTTGTTTGCTTGTTTCCTGTTTACAGCTAGAGCAGGACAAATATAAAACTCCGAAGAGACATTTAAAGATAAATGATCTGTTTGAAAGAAAGACATGAGCAAGTGTAGTATATTGCAGCCAGTCAGAGATTAGAAAGGCCATGGTTTGTCTGGGTTAAGTTTAATTACCATCTGGGGCAGCTGATTACATTCATTTTATTTATCAGACACCCTTACTAACTCCTCTGCAATCACTTCACCTCAAATTAATATCAGGATAAACTCCTTTTTATTAAATCAACCTATTATCTCTTCTGTTTCACTTATGTTAATGTAATGATAATAGAATTATCAGTTTCATTTTCCCACCAAGATGCTCTCTTAATGTTAATGCAAATCATTCATTGCCACATACTGAAGCGAGAGCGCCAAACATACTCATTCAGGTTCAGCTCTCGTCCTCCTGGGATCACAACACAAAAGCCATGGCTCCACTGTGCATCAGGTAATCTAGAACTTGCAATTACTGTCACTGCAATTTCAAATACAGCTGTCCTCATCATAAAAGAAATAGATCCAAAATGCCCATAAATTTGTCCACACCACATTCTTAGCCAATACACCAAATTTGAAATATCATACTTATTTTTTATAAGAAGCAAAATTAAAACATGCAAAGTCTCTACCATTTCACTTGCTGGCTTCCATCTACTTTTTACATTAAAATAGCCTTAGAAGAGTTCATATGGATTATTGTGAAAACCAAATGGCACAAAACCAAATCACAACATAGTGCAAAAGTAGGCCAGTCATCTGCATAGAACATGCTGTCATTAAAATCAATGACTAAAGTGTTGTGAAATATTTTATTCTAGTTAGAAATGCAGAGCAACATTGCCATCAATACACAGCAAGATGGGATTTAATTCTCTAGGCAAAAAGCTGATTATTTTTTATAGATAAAGATAAAAATGAGCCACTGTAAAGAATGTTATTGTTAAAAGACTGATGGTAATCCCCAAATTGATGCATCTCATACATGTAATTAAAATTCAAAATTTTTCAAAAGCAGTATTCAAATTACAGGGAAGTCATTTCTGTAATTGTTGCTGTGCAGACTGGTTTAAATAGAAGCTTTTCAGCTCTTCAAGCAATGGCAGCCAATCTGTGGGAATACTAATGTTAAGTTTAATTTCTCTTTTTCATGTAGTTATATTTGTATTCTTTATAATTTTCAGCTTGTAAGTATATTTTTAAAAATAAAATTATCAAAAAGAAATGAAGCGTTATCATGCAATTTTGAGTTCCTTCATTTCAAGCTTTTCTGCATGAACTGAAAGGTATAATTGTCCTCTGCCTATAAAGGCAGCTGGTATGTACATGCAAATGAGGGTCACTTTAATTTCCATATGAGACAGAACTACTCTTGCATTGGATATTGGTCCCTTCACAATAACAGTCTGAAGTTTTGCTGGGAAAACACAATAAACCAAAAATTATTAATAAGCAAATCAAAACCTTGTGAGGAAATGTGAAGTTTGTTTCTGTTAAAATGGGTCTCTAAAAAGTAAACCTGTAGTCTTAAATTTTACCACATAGATTTTATTTCCATCATAGCATCACCATAAAGGAGAAAGTCTAGTTATCAATGATGCCTTGCTCTCAGAGTTGTTTATAAGCTGTCAAAGGTTGATAACAACTAAAAAGAAGTGTGGTTTTTTAATGCTCTAAAACCAAAAGTAGAGATCACCTCAAGCTGTAAAACTTTAGAGAGGTCTGAAATGAAAGCTGAGAGAACTGGTAGAAGGGATTTAAAACAAACAAGAAAAAAGATTCAGCTCACTTCACAGGGGGCTGGTCTCCTTCCAAGGGGGCTGGCTTTTTTGTGTTAAAAACTTAAATTCTAATTTTCAAGACTGAAATTGGGTTATTCTGTTCAAGATTACTGAGGGATTGAAGTATTCTTGTGATTTGAATCTGGAAAATATTGCTAATGCTTTACCTGGTATTTCAAACTCCTGGAGTTGGCTGCTGTGCAAAAAAGTTACTAACTTTAATTTCTGTTTCCAGATCGGCTCATTATTGTGATGTCAAGCAGAACAGATTATGCACAAGGAAAGCAACTATGAATGCAAATTATTACAAGTGTTATAATTTTTAAATTCTACAGTGTCAAACGAGTTAGTCTTTTCATGCAAAACAGTTGTTGATAGCTGAACTGTTTCCTTACATGTAATTTTTAAATCATGTCATTGGTTCTTTCATAAATCATACTATTCTGTTTAGTTGTCATAAAAGCACAAAAAAAAAATCTTGCTGCATTTTTTGCAAATAACTCTGGTACATATGTGGTTACTGTGCTCATGGATCTAGAACAGACTTCCATTCAAAACCAACCTGATTACAGATTCAGTGGTTCTAATGCTCTAAAGGATGCTCGTAGGGCATGTTCTCTGTATTCTCTTAGTTCTATAGTGTTCTTATGTGAAAAATAAATGGAATATTTTGCTGAGTTTCCTCTGTGTACAACTCCTATATGGCAGAGGCCTTTCCTATTTGTGAATACATTAGCTCTATACAGAAACTTCAAACAGGGGGAAGAGAAAGGGGAAAAAAAAAACCAAACCCCTCAAGGTGCAGGAAAACATAACCACCTATTCACACTGTTTCATTTGTAAACTCTATATTCCGGTGCTGTTGTGAAAGGATGCAAGCTGTCTAACAGGCAAGGTAAAAAAATGCCCTTCCTGAATGAGTCACCTTATGTCTCCTGAGCAGCAGCCTGCCAGAGATACCAAATTGTACTACCCACAGTTTCCCTTCTCCATTTTATGCTGCCTTTTCAAGTCATTAACAATTTTCCCTCTTCTGAAGGGGAAATTGGTTCTTTTCTGTAGTGCTGTCCATTTGTGCCTGCACAGCTTTTTCCTTTTTGTACTAACCGAACCGTCATTGCTGCCTCAGTCCAACACCAGGTGCAGCTCTCAAATATTTACAGTACATCTGAACAGAGCCTAGCACATGAAAACCCCAAAAAGGATCACAGTTACAGAAAGCTTCATATCTGAAAGATCTATTTATGCAGAGAGCTGCCCTGCCTATAACAGTGCAGCTCTTAGTGTTTTTCAGCAAGAATGATTTAAGGCATCCAGCCTTTTTTCTACAGGATTTAGACAAAGGAGAAAAGCAGAAAGAAAAACTTCAAAGAGTTACGCACTTCCTTTACTGGCAGGACTGCCAGGCTGACACTGAACAGAGAGGCTATGCTCCTTAATGAAATGTGACTGTGTTTGTAGGACCAGGACTTCGATTTTAAAACTGCCAGCACAAGTAAAGACATTAGTACCTGCAGAGGACTGAAGTATTTTAAATTTTTTTCCAGAGAAGCTTGCAATACATAACAAATTAATACACATCACTCACCTGAAAAGACATTGGGAAATGTCTCTGTAGAAGCCTGCACTCCTGAGGACTTTCTTGAATGAGTCAAAGGCACTCTTTCAGTTTGAAATTTCTCTCTAAACCCCTTGTGCTCCAAGTAGCCTGCAGAGCCCACCTTCTGTATTATCTCACATCTGTGATTAGATACCTCTTCTGTCCAGTCTGCTGAACGACTAAATAAACCTGCCAAACTAGCAGACCTCTGCTTCTTGATGGAAACTTTTTCTGTTTTGTGGAAGGACTCCTGCCTCCTTGTAAAAAGCGGGCTCTGGGATGGGGAGGGAGAAGGTGAATGGTTGGGAGAACTCAGTTGCCTAGTTGTGGTTTTGATGTAACAAGGATTAATTAGATAGGGCTTAAAGCATCGGGACCCAAGCACTGGACTGCCTGCTGTCCCCTCGGAGGACCAAATGCCATTTTTCATTTCCGTGGATAAACCATTTTGCAGGTCCTCTTGACTGGCTGACAGTGCGTGTTTCCCTTCCCGAGTCTCGGCAGCATGATCACGGCCTGCATCTGAAATACCATCCTCTGTTACTGAGCCCTGCAAATCAACAGCCTGCACTTCAGCAATTCTAGTCTCAGCGGCTGCTACCGAGGTTGGAAAAGGTCGTGTGGAGCTGGGTGTCTGAGACCCATTTTCTACAGCAGTTCTATTTAAATCATCTTCACCAGCTACAACATCCACTCCAGCAAAGAGCCGTTCCTGTTCCTCAATCAATAGCTTACGTTCTTGTGTTTCAAATAAACCGTTACCAGGAGAGCCTGTGCCATTTACTGCTTCTTTCTGTTCACATTCAGTTGCACAGGAGACAGGAATGTTTTCCGCAGTTTCAGATACCGCTGGAAAAGCCCCCTCAGCGTCTGGGCTCCTCTCTTTGTCAGTGGTTGTTACTGAAAGAAACCGTTCAAAATCTAAGGGGGCTGCTTGCGAATTAGCCATGTGTCGGCCCATTGTTTTGGTGACAAGGTCTTCAGTTCCAATGTTAATTGCCCCCTGCTGCTGCTGCTGCAGTCTAATAGCTTGCTGGATATCAGAAAGCAAATCCTCTTGTTCTGTGGCTGAATGGAAACTGTATATATCTGTATCAGAGCCAGAGCTGGTCCTTTGTCCATCCTGTGTCTCCACGGCAGCTGGGACAGTTTCATTTCTGATTTCAAAATGTTCAACATCTGTGTCTGAGAGACCCCCTTCGTCTGCAGAGATGCTTATATCTGGAGTTTTGGTAACAATTGAATGAGTACTGTCCAGCTCTCCAGCCTGCAAGGCCTGGCTTTCCAAAACATCCTCCCGTGAACTACTATTCCCATCTTTAGCCTTGGAAAGATTTTTTCTGATCCTCAAATTTGAAAACACCGAGGCCCTCGAGTCCGACTTACCCTTCTTCTTACTGGATTCACTTCCTTTTGCATGCTTCCCCAGTCCCCTCCTGCTTCCCAATACCTTCTTTGTGCCATCCGTATCCTTGGGCCCAGAGACATCCTCTCCTCCTTCATGCACATCACCTGTATTTTTCTTTAGCTTCCCATCTTGATTCCCCATGATTTCTCGCAGTGCAACACCTTCAGCAATCAAGCCATGCTCCCGGATTTCATTCCTCTGGCCTGCCGGCGAGATCCCCGCTAGCGACCCAGGTTTGTTTTCAAGCGGTGGTGATGCAAGTGAAGCAAATGCTTGCTGTGCCTCTCTCCCATCTGCTAGAGCTGCCTTTTTGCATAATGTGCTGCTGGCGCTGGGCTCCGCTGGGACATGCTCAGTACAGCACCGAGAGCTGCAGACAGCTCCTTCCAATGGCTGCTGCTCCCGGAGCCGCCCGCTCTCCGCGCTTCTGCTGCGCTCTTGGTTCTTCAGGAAGGATTCTGTGAAAAGTATTTCCTTTATGAAAGTCACTTCTTTTTCCACGGTTTTTATGGCCTGCATTGCAAGCTTGGCTCCTCACCAAATCATTTATAATTTCAGGACTTCAACGTGAGAGTTCCTGGAGGTAAAAAGGAAAAATAATTTTAAAAAAGTTAAAGCAAGGTACATTAATTTCTCTGCAGTTGTTTAAATGAAGAAACTAACAACCTCAGAAAGAGAAATATTATGATTATTTAATAGTTTATAAGGTGCTTAAGCATATGCTGCTTTGACAGCTCACACAGTACCTCTGGTGATTTACATATTTACTGTTTAAATGCCTCCAAATCACAACACTGTTTTAGAAGGAGAGAAGCTCTGAAAGTAGATAGAAGAAAGATAATAAACAAAAAAGTTCTTTCCACAGTTTTAAAGAGTTGCACTTAAAATTCAATGCATTGTGGTAATTACACCATGAAAAAACCTCTCACAATTTGTATTCTGAGAAGGTAGATATACTATTATTCCCAGGAGAATGAACTCATCAATATTAAAACACACCACTATTATTTCCCCTGATAAGAACATCTGGCATGAAACAAGACAAAACAAACACAAAAAATAGCAGTATTCAAATGTTCCTAAGGAAAAGTATACAATAAAACATTCCTCTATTGTACCCTATATATTTAATAATTGATTTGGACACTGTCACTTGCTAACTATTTTGGAAGCTTGTGCAACAGTTTTAATCAGTTGCTTCTCCTCTCTTTTTGGTTTAGATGAATAAGCATCCCTATTTCATAAATATGTTTCGTGAACTTCCAGACAGGCACTCCCTTCCACTTTTAAAATTTAGATTTAAAATAACAGGAATAGAAACAAAAGGTCATAAGAATGCCAAATTACCAAGTTGGATCGGTTCCCAATTTCAATATCTTGGTTCATATACAGCCAAAAAATAGTTAGATAGATTTCCGTTTATGATTTATCGTCTCTAAACTGCCCGGTCTATCTGGTTCAGTTTCTATGAAAGACTTCACGTATTCCTCACACCTCTGAGCTTCCTTATTAGCTATTTCCCTTTTATCAGAGATTTCTTAAAACAATACTTCATTCCAGGGAACCATTCCCTAATGGTTTACCTAACTCTTACTTCTGTTATCATTCTCTTCATACCATAGGTATAGCTTGCTTTCCTCTGCCTGAAGAAGAATATTATTCACACTTTAAAGCTACACATGCACACACGCCCTTCCCCCCCCCTCTTTTTTTTTTTTTCAGTGGGTGCTAAATAGCTTTAGAAGTCTGGTCTGCGGTAATTGTTAAAAAGTGTTGTTAATTCAGTTTGGAAAGAATAGCAGTGCCAATAATACATGCAAGTAAATTATTCTGAACTATCGTAATATTTTCCTTGTGCTTCTTGGTCACTCACTGCACTGATGTTAAGTCCTGTCCTGAGGTGCCTGTGGCTCAGGCAGCAGATGCCTTCTGTGTCCAGGAACTCAAGTGTTTTAAGTAGATCAGATGACTTTGTACACTCAGTGTTTTGTTTGGGGTCGTGTTTTTTTTTTCTTTCATTAGCTAAGTGAAAACTGGAGAAAGAAGTGATTCATCTTTTTTTTTTTCTCATTTTTAGCCCACAGCATTCATAAATATACTAGCAAAAGCTAGGATAGCAGAATCTGCAAGAGTACGTTAAGTAATTTTCCTTTTTGACTCCATTCCTGCCTTTGCTCTTCGTTATCCTACTTAGTTTCTAAGTTGTTGCAGTATTTTACTTTTTAGAGCATTATTATCTACTTGCAAAAGGCTTTTGAAAGCTCAGGTAATTTCAGTCCATCTGAAGATACACAATAAGAATTACCTAAGGCACAGCTTGAGGGAACCATAGTAGTAGAATACTACCTTGATGGGTATTTTCACTGACTAGAACTGACAAGAATCTACCCCTTGATTACAACTGGAGTAGTTGTAGATTCCAACCCCATTTAAAAGCTTTTCTGCCACTAAAAAATGCCAGAAATTAACACAGTACAAAAATAATATAAAAATACTGTGGACTGAATGTGTAAGGGAAACAGAATTAGTGTGATGTTCTGAAACATTCACTTTCCTTCCTTCTATGTAAACTCACGTTACAGACTCAACACACACCCATTACAACTAATGATAATTCACCAGCAGTAACGACACTGCAAATTATGCTGCAAAACCAAGCCATCAGCAAAGCCGGAGTTATGATAGAAAAGTTAAAGACTGATCTTCATTTTTAATAAGAAACTAGAAAGAATTGTTTTAATCATGTAACTGCACTATTTCCTGAAAGTTTCCATTGAGCACATCCTGATGAGTAAGTTCTTAAAAAAACCCACACAAATGTATAGGCATTACCTGAGTTTAAATATACTACACTGATTTTTTTTTTCTCAATCTGCAGCTATAATTCTAAAAGTAAAATAACTATAAGAAAAAAAAGTATCATTTTCTAGATAGTCCTTCTAAATATGGTATCCTAACCAAGCATGGATTCTGACTCGTATTTCTGATCTATATGGGGAAAAAGCATCACCAAAATGAACATACATATGTGAACATCAAATAATTTGGTTATTCCACATAAGGCATGGAAAATATGCTAAAAAAAAAAAAAAAAAAAAAAAAAAAAAAGAAGAGGGCAGGGTTAGAACAAAAATTACCCCAAAGTAGCAGTGATAGATACAACTTCCCCTCAGCACTTACAGAAAAGTACAAAAGGTTAACATTAACCAAACATAAAACCAAATAATACTTTGGGGTCTGTTTATTCTCAGAAGTATTTTAGCTTCTGGAAAAAAGTCACAATATTAAAATTCAGCAAAAAATCAGAACATTTTGGCATCAGTATAAGCTACATTTTAACAGCTAAGGATGTATTTGATATTCTACACCAAAAATGAGACTCTTAGGGGAAAGCAGATGGGGAAAAGAAAGGGGTTTAGAAGTCAGAGAAGGATATTTCATTTTTAAGAGTACCTATAACTCATTCTTAGCTTGTTACATATTGCCCACAAACAACTGAGGCTAGTCCTGCCTGCCTACCTTATTTAATATTTTTCCAGAGGTCCGTCAAAAATACCAAGGGGCAAGATTGCAGGCAAAGGCCTGAGGTCTCTACCACCTCTCATTCTCTTCCAAAGCTCAGATGTGAATTGCAACACACAGAGTCAAAACTTACAGATCAAGATGCATTGTCCTTGCGTCCCGAGACTTCCACATTAATACATTCCTGTTAGGAAAGTATACCCCTGCTATAAGATTGTGATTATTTTCAACAAGACAGTTACCACTTACAGCAGCCTCTCTGGGACGGTGACCAAATCATCCCCAGCACTCACTCACTCGCTCACTACCTGCCCACCTACCCTGCTGGGTGGGGAAGGGTTACCGGCCGCAACAATTACCCACACCTGGCTGCCAGCCTGGGCCTCCTGGAGCACAGCCAAGGCAAAGCACTTCCCTGGGTGGAGCTGGGAATGTGGGGGGAGTGGTCTCCCCATATTGCTCACAAAAAGGCTGGGTGACCAGTAGGTACCCTGGCATTTTGGGCTTGTCACAAACTCAGTAGCTTGGGAGGCAAGAGGATGTACCTAGGGGACCCTGCTCTGGGGCGAGACAACTTTCTTGGGGTGGACAAGCTTTCACCATGATTTATTTATTGTGATATTTCATTTTGCTCTCAGTAGTAGTCATTGAGTAAATCTTTTTATACTGAAGATGATAATGCCCTGTTACTGATACTGACAGGCACAGTTCTGCTGATGGCTGTGCTGGACAGGGGATAAGCCTTTGGAGCAGGGTTAGGGTTCACCAGTATCATCTCAGGGGAAAGTTTAAGCCACAGGAGTGCTGTTGACATACAAAGTGCCCAAAACAGCACCATGGCAGTAATGCTGTGGCTGCCAGCAATGAAGCACCATCACTGCTGAGCACAGGAATACAACAAACCCAGGATGAGCTGCACCACGTGCCTTCCAGATACCCCTGTACCACCCTGCATGGTGACTGACGGGCATGCTCTGTACATACGCCCACAGCCAGCTCTTCCGGGAGCCCAGAGTGGCTGGCCAGATTATGTACCCCACTATGTATGGTCTCTGTGAACCCTTCCCTGCTGGGGAGAACCAGCAGCTGGGTTTGATGTAGGCCACCGTGGCCCAGGGTGGATGCTTTCCTGGGGGCAAGCCACAACATGGTGGCCCAGGACAGAGGCCTGCTGGTGGCAGCTCAGCCTCATTCTGCAAGGCCACAGGCATGTGCTGACTCTGGCAGACCCTCTGCCTCACCTCCAAACAGAGGAGGCCTGAGGGTGAGGCAGCAGTACTGTAAGAGCCACAGCACCATACTGCAGGGCCCAGGTGCCATGACAGTGCTGTGGGAGCTGGGGTCTCCTCCCCTCACTCCATACCTGAGGAGACAGGGCTACTGCTCAGATAGGGAGCATAAGGATAGCCCAGTGAATCATAGAATGGTTTGAGTTGGAAGGGACCTTAAAGATCATCTAGTTTCAATCCCCTTGCCATGGGCAGAGACACTTTCCACTAGACCAGGTTGCTCAAAACATCATCCAGCCTGGTCTTGAAGACAGCCAGGGATGGAGCATCCACAGCTTCTCTGGGCAACTGGTTCCAGTGTTTTATCACACTCTCTGTGAAGAATTTCTTCCTGATAGCCAATCTAAATCCCTTTGTCAACTTAAACCTGTTACCCCTTGTCCTGTCACTACAGGTCCTTGCAAACAGGCCCCCTCCAGCTTTCTTGCAGGCCTCCTTCAGATAATGGAAGGCTGCGATAAGGTCTCCCTGGAACCTTCTCCAGGCTGAACAAGCCCAATTCTCTCAGCCTTTCTTCATAGGAGAGGTGCTGAGCCCTCTGAGCATCTTAATCCTCACCGCTGCTGTACGCACCTTGCAGAGATTTATTTTTTAATAGTGGCTCAATATACATGGGTTTGGGCACATAGATTAACAGAATTGTTTTAAAGTACTCTAGTGTTGCATTACTGATTAGGATATGGTGATGCAGATGGTATGAAGAAACGTTTGTTCAAGCGCATCAAGATATTCCCAGCCATCTATATGTTAC